TATATATATATAATGTATATAACATTCAGTTGAAAGGCTTCATCATACAATGTCTTGTTTCACTTATGGAATCTGCAATGGTTTGATCAGCCATCTCATGGGTGTTGTTAAGATTTACAATTGTTTTTATAGTTTTGTAATGGCCAAGAATGACACAGCCAGGTTTACACCATACTGCCTACAATGATGTAATCAATATTCATTCTACCTATAAACATGCAATTTTATATCACAATCACATCTGAATGAAGGATTACTGTGCTGTAATCTTGCATAGTTTTTGCTAACAACTGTTAACTCATGAAGTGGCCGTGACGTTTTTATTGGAAATGGTTCAGCCTCATGTGAGTTAGAATGAGTGAACAGAAGAAAGGAAGAGAGAGTTTTATTGCCATGCAGGTGCAGGTTTCCCTCCTTTCATCGCTTTTTTTCACACTTGTACGTGTTGTATAATTTTATAATGAAGTGGGTCAGCCTTGCTCTCACACTCACTTGTAACCTACAAGGCCAAACACAGCTGACTTGTTAGCAGTATAAAAGCACTTGTATCACCCCTCTGTGCACAAGAACCAAATGAGCCATGGCGCTGATGCTCACAAGTGTTTTACTTATTTCACTGTAAGTAGCTATATGCTTATGCGTTTAGTATTTTCTCCTGTAATATTACTACAATTATTATTGTTTTCCTTTTGCTTCACATAGACACTTCATTTTGCCCATATGGGGAAATGTTTTGCGACTTCAGAAGAGAGACTGGGTGGGCAGTCCATCTTCAAGCATGACAGGTAATTATTACTTTACTACTATTTTAGTTACTATTTACGCTGTAGCAAAATAATTAAAACTGACTGAGTTTTACTTTTCTAGAGGGTGATGTGGAATGTTTCTCTGAGTACATGGAGCTTTGGATCCATAGAATGAGAATTGAGGGACTGAGGCTTTGGCTTTCTGGAATATTACGAATTCAAGGTGAGCTATATGGACATTGAATTTCTGAACTTAACACAAGAGAGGAAAACCTGTAAAAAATAAATGCTTTTTGGGAAAAAAATACAGTATCCACATTACATGTTTTACACTTTTATATAATATGTCATTTATACTAAATGTAGGATAAAACACTCAAGACTGACAGATTATTCTTTATTCCCGCTTTATGTACTTTGTCAGAATGTAATGTCTGTAAAACACATCTTATTAGATTGTAGTGATGTTATTCCTTTCAGGAAATATTGTTATTCTGCTGATATTATAGAAATAGTTTTTAATAAAGATAGCGCACCATCAATTTGATTAAAAATGCATATTAAACATCTTATTGGCCACAAAAATAGACTTTGTTGGCAAACAAACAAATAATTTTTATACCAGAAATAATAACGTGTTCTCAGACTGTTGCACAAAATAATAACTTGAAATATTCTAAAATATTTGTAAATAATAGTATGTGAAATATATTAATGTAATTATACTATATAAGAAACACATAATCTTAAATAGTAACTAAAACTTTCTTAATAATATTAAAGACGCTTAATATATTAATCTTATTACTTTAAGAAGTCCGTATGTCACACAGTAAGACAGACAGTGTAAGGTGTGAGCATGACCACTATTTTAAACAGCAATAATAATAATGATAATAATAATAAATATGTGTTCTGTGTACTAGTTTCATACATCTTTTGCTCTTTTCAGTGGGTTTGGTGTCCATGGAGAATCTGAACCATCAGCTTTCTTCATGTGGGTTTGCCCTGCACAGAGATCTGGAAAAGAACTATATCTTTAGAGTCATGTACAGTGGATGTTTTGTCCAGTTAGAGGTTAGAAAATGTCCCCGTTTGTCACTGAAACATATTCGCTTCTGCAGTGTGTTGCTGGTAAGAATCTGTCCCTTTTTATCACTACTTCTCAGAATAACATTTTATAGTGATTTTTTTCAGAATGGCAATTATGTGATTGTGCTGAACCTGCTGAAGAGAGTAAGTCGTTTAGGAGGCAGGACTCAAAAGTTTCTGATGAAGTGTCCAGCGGTGTTAGCGCCTCCTAACAGAGAGTACATCCAGTGTGATTCAGACTTCATTCAGGTAAGAATAGAGTGATGTGATCATTCTTTTTTTGCTTGTTCTTTTTTTTTTCCTTCCATTTTTAAAAAAAACCTTTTTTTTGTGTGTGTGTTCAAGGTTACCAGAGAGATCCCTGTGGATAACTGGAATAAAGAGGTAATTTCTAATAAATGTTTTGATATGTGAGGTTATGAAGAGATGAATGTATCTAATGTGGAATATTTCTGATGTGATTTTTCCATTCAGCTGGACTGGTCTCTGGCCTTGAGTGGGAGTCTGGTGGTGGCTTTGGAGGATTCCAGTCTTATTCAAGTAAATGTTGAAATGCACAAACCAAACATAACAGTTCAGGGGAGGAGAGACATCATCTTAAGTCCTGTGCAGGTAAGACTGTGCCAGTTTGTGGCTGGGAGGATTTGTAATAGTTTAGCAATAGAGCAAAAACTCCATCGGAGTTGAATTTTTATATATATATATATATATATATATATATATATAAATAAAATCACTTTTTATCTTTATAAGGCTATTTGAAGAATATAAAATCATTCTGCATGATATGTTAAATAAAACAGCATTTATTTGAATATATTTTTTAAACAATCAGTATTTTTAATGTCACTTTTTTTTATCAATTTACTGCATCCTCACTGAATAAAAGTATTCATTTCTTAGAGAAAAATCTTGCTTGGCAGGTATTCCAAAAAAGGAAAAGGGGCAATTAATTATTTTCAATGTCAGGAGTATTTTTGTCACTGAAACTGAGACTTGGTAATTTTTTTCCTGACCGTGTCTGAACTAGAATTATTTACTAAATTGTGCCACCTAATGGTCTGTAATTGAATAGCATATTTTTGGCTCAGCTCATACAGGAACAAATGCTTAATCCTTTGTGCTTATGTTGAGTTAAAAGTATCCAAACTGACTGAAAAATTACCTCTGAACCACTTATTTAATTCATTGTGTGCTTTAAACAGTGCAGCAGCAGCAGGTTGATTTTCATTAAAAGGCTACATATCTTTTAGGTGTTCAAATCGGAAGGACATTTCTTACCTCTCAAACTGGTCAGTGGCCATTATGCCTACAGCATGGAGGCGACCTGCCCAAACGGTTTGTTATTATGGTCATATCATGGCACATATCTTGCTTATTTTGCAAGGTTTTATCACTTGCATATTTAATAGCCATTCTGCATGTTTCTTTCAGTGAACCAGTCATCATCTGAAGACACGGTGCTGCATGTCTATAAACGGCGTATGGGTTTGACCAAAAGAGGTGGATATCAAAATGAGACCCTGTCAGTCAGCAGTGTGATTGTGGAACAGACTGACACATTCACCTGGTCAGAGACAAGTGACTTTGTGCAGCTTATCATTCACACATCCCACATTCAACAGAAAAAGGTTAGAAGTTTATAATTTTATATACACTACCGTTCAAAGGATTGTTTGAAAGAAACTAGCAAATTATAATAATGTGACACTGAAGAAAGTAATGATGGAGTAATGATGCTGAAAATTCAGCTTTGCAAGCACAGAAATAAATTACATTGTACAATATATTAAAATAGAGAACAGTGATTTTAGTGTCTTCAATTTATCTGAATACAAATCGCATATTCTTTTTTTTTTTGATTACAAATATTTTATAATATAAATCAATCTCATATAAAAATAGTTTTGCATTTTAGAGCTTTGAAATTAGGATTTTTGCATTTTGATTTCATTTTATTTTTAAATTAATGTGTGTATATATATATATATATATATATATATATATATATACCTCACCTTGTTCAGGTTAGTAAGTCTGCTCAAAAAGTTCCTGAGTCATTTCAAGGTGCTTTTTTTTCCTCTAAAAACCCAAACTGCACAGGACCATGAAACACCTAACCATGTTCAAGTTAGTTAGTCTTTAAATGTACTTAATCAAGTATTCAGAACTTCAAGTTGCTACAATTGTTTTACAGAGATGTTAAAATCACACCTCCATTTAATGCGTGATGACCCACAAGAAGCTAATGTGACTGCACATTCACCCGAGGGGGTTACAGGCAAGCCAGAAGTTCCTGTTAGTTCAAACAAAGAGTTTACTCCTTCTGTGGCACCAGAGACCGTATCTACAGCATCACAGACAGCTGATGAGGAAATCAGCATCACCTCGGTACAATCCCAACAACTCCAAACAACTGAGGCTCTTAGTACGTCATTGAGTGCTTCAACATAAATGGAGATAATGATACAAAAAAGTATTTGCAGCTACAGTTTACTGCCTAAAGCACAACCGAGATCTCTGGAGAAGTTCATCTGTGCATCGCTGACAGTGAGGCGCCGCGATGCAGAACGGATGGAAATGCAGGTACCAACTGCACGTGTCGGTGATTTTCCAAACAACACTATTACTATTGGTAGTCCATTAATCACAACAGATGTAATCACAGTTTGAAATACAGCTACACATTTAAGCGGCATTTTCCCTCAGTCTGGGATTTACAACACAACAGTCAAGTGGACCCATGCATCTTTTCCGTTGACAAGCAAAGTGCCGTTGGAATCACATGTGGGGAATGATTACATCCAAGACTGTGTTGGTCATGCCATTTAAATACGAACTACTGTCTCAGAACTCCCTCAGCTGTGTGTGTCACATCTCAGAAATAAATGTGGTGTCTAGTATTAAAAAAAAATTGGTGTTTATTCTCAAGTTGCACAATAACTAGCCCTATCGGTGACTCGCTTCCCTGAAAAACAGAAAGTGCCTGGCAGTTTAGCAATTGAAGCTCAATACTAAGCTCTCTACTTTATTTCCTTCAGCATAAAATAGTATCTTTAATACAGTTTCTGTGGTCTTCCGTAATCTTATGATTATATACGTAGATGTATTTAGAGCTGTATAGATTGTTTATTTATTACGTTGCTCTCTGGAATACACTTTTCTAATTTGTCAATCACAACATTCATATATTGCTGCATATTATTTTGATAATCAAAGTAGTAAAAATTGGGTCTCCATTAACTATCAGTTCATAGTTATACTAAAACACAAAAATTATCTTATTTTAAAAAGTGTACAGTATTGATTACTGTATACTGCCATCCATAATAAAACAAATCGGACATAATAACAATAGAAAACAAAAAATTGAACACAATTACTTCACTCTTTGAATTAGTTAAATATTTGGACATTTAACACTTAGGGCCTACACATTGGCATTATTTTCATATCTCTTTATCACACTGCGAACTCACTCCCACTTGTTTCTTGCAAATGCAACTGGCACCTTCTTGCATCTCAGTTATCGATATTAGTAAAAATGACCCCAGTAATATCACTGTTATATTGTTGTAGTGTTCAGTTTGTTGCTAATCTGATTTTATACCTTTTAAATGGACTATTTTCTATCCCTTTCATAGATTATGTATATAGATATATGGTATATTAAATACTGTAGGTTTCTTTCTGGAAAAAATGTAACAAATGACAGATGATATTATGTATGAGATGTAATCTGGATTAATACACAAAGTGTTTATTGAGTAAAACCAGTGGGGTGTTTGTGTTCTGGATGATCATAATGTGAACCACAGATGCCGTCTTGCTGAATCCTGCCATGTGGCAGGTATTTTATTTAAGGATGTGATCTCTGTTGTGATACATTAATTTTAGCTGTAATTTTTAAATATACATCTTGGTCTTTTTAGTTCCAGTTACAGTAAATGCTGACTATCTCTTTGTGGCAGTATGAGGAATAGCCAGAAGAGGTCAGTGTTGTTCAATGTTTGGCTTTTGCTGAAGATTCCAAGGCAATGAGCAATGTGTCTAAAACTGAGCATTTTGAGGTCAGTGTCAGTTGTTCAAAAGGCATATATATGTTTTACACATATGCATGACTGACACTTTATGTGCTTAATTTTTTTATTCATAAGACATAAATACTGGGCATTGATGTACATTCTTAGATTTAGTGGGAAAACAACCTCAGATGTGAGGTTAGTTAATTTGCCTTTACTACGCAATTTCCCATGCTTGAATGAATTCAATTAGACTTTTGAAAGGCAGGCCATTTTAATGTAACCCAGTCAAGATATTCTTCTAAATTCTGAGCATCTGGAAGAAAGACCACTGACACTCGTAAAATTTATTGTGATTACAGTCTCGATATTTGAGCAAACCAAAGAACACCCTTTCTCATCCTGATCGTGTTTGTGTCTAACAGTATGTGTTCTATATTAAATGACAAAACAAGAGCACATTTGTATGCGTTGGATATTGTGTCCTCTAGAGCTTTGCACTCTGGCACAGTGTAATTTTCACCCAGGGGGTCAGAGGGGGGCCACGCCGCCAGAGTTTTCTTTGGCATCTGTTGCATGAACTTGTGAACAGGAAACACAATAACAGCACAAAGTACACCAACATCTCAAGTCTTTCATGCGGTTGTTTTGAGCTATTATGTTATTAGTGTAGGCTTAAAAATTCCTTTCATGTTCCCCTCCTTTTCTTTTTCATACCAGTTGCACATCTGTGAGATGTTTGAAACCACACACTGGTTAAATTTTGCATTGCTTTCAGAGATGTTTTTAATTGTTATAATTGATAATGATATGAGCTAAACATTCACACATTAACAAAACTTTTTTTCTTATATATATATAAAAAAAAAAAAAAAGATGAATTACAGCCTTTCTTTGGTTCTTTGGTTGAAACAACACAAAAAAAAATAAAAAAATAAAAAAATATATGTATATATATAAAAAGACGCATTAGCGTTTAATTTATATATGGAGAGAGAGTCAGTCTAAAAGTCTCACACCACCAGTGAAAATGTTGTAATTTATTTTAATATAACAGTTTTTAAATTGTAAAAACAAATTATAATGTTAATTTAATTATTATTGTAACATCAAAAATTTTATTAAAAAAATATTATAAATATTTTTTATTATATATATATTAATTATAGGAAATGAAGAAAATGTTCTGTAATTAAAATAGAAAAAAGGGGAAAAAATATTTTTATGTAATATATAAAAATTCTAAACCTAAATATATAAACCTACATTATAGATTAGTAAATCATGACAACTTATGTTTTTTTACATTAACTCATCAAAGTGAATTAAGTAAATGTAACTTTTTTCAATAAGTTATGTGAAATGTAACTATTTTTTTAATAATGTAATTTAAATTAAAATGACTTGTATATTTGTATATACTTATACTTAATTTAAGGCAGCAACTGAACTTTTAAAATTTTTTACAGAGTTTTTCTGGCTCTGGTTTGTAAAAGCAGTCTTACTATTGTGGCTCAATTTGTTGAACCAATTCAGCAATGAGCTTTCCACAACAGGACAAGAGCTGGCAGACGAAAGAGGCTCTTGGAAGGGAAGGGAAGGCTTTGGTGGTTACGCTCTGACTCTTTATCTTACTTGCTGGGCAATTACAGAATCATGGGTCAACCATGCATGTAACCACAGCTTCGTTGCACAGTAGCAGATGTACTCATAGCATTAGCTGGTAGGAGCGTGAAGGTAAACATAAACAGATGCAGCTGGTTGCTAGGGACACTCGCCAACTTGTGTGCCCTAATGATTCCCATGTGTGCGGGTGCAGATCTGCAGCAGTGGGCAGAATGCAGGCATACGCTGTGTTTCAGAGTTTCTCAATGGGATATTTGTGAATGAGTTTAGCAGCAGTGGTTTTTGGGTGGGTGTTCCCTGTTGGCATCGTGCCCCTCCTAGTAAGTTAAAGCTGATTAAGCCGTTTTCTCTGTGTCTTCAATTTGCCATTGGTTATAATGTTTTGAAATGAATGGAAAAGTCTTTTTTATTATTGTGCCACATGAGTGGTATGAAGAGATTGCTCTTAAAGCCCATTTGCTTTCGCAAAAAATTGTCCTTTTATTGCATACATCATTGTATAACGAAGATGAATGTAACATCTATTTGTGGTTGTGCATTAGGCCTAATCTACAACTTCCCATTTGCTTGTCATACAAAGCAATTCCAAAAATAGTCCAAGACATATAATGGATGCTTCATGTTATTTCATAACACAACTGTGGGCTCCGAAAGTCTGAGACCACATTGAACATTTGAGATTACAAATCTAATTTAATCCTGCAAATATAATTTTTTAGGATTTTTAATGTCATATAAATAAGAAACATTTAAGTATTCAATTAAACTTTTCAGTCAGATTGTTATGCTAATAGTGTAAATTATAATAGAAAAATTGAAAAATTTTCACTAGTTGACTTTTGAACCCACACTACCACTCAAACGTTTGAGGTTGGTAAGATTTAAAAAAAAAAGTTTTTTTTGATTTAAATGTATTTAATTGAATACATTTTATGCATTTTTGTTTGTTTGAAGATTGTTCGAATAAAAAGGTTATAAGAACAGCATTTATTTAAAATAGTAATCTTTTGTAACATTATAAATATACATGTCTTTGCTGTCACTTTTGATTACTTTAATGCATCCTCGCTGAATAAAAGTATTAATTTCTTTAAAAAAAGAAAGAAATAAAATAAACTAAGGTGATGTAATTTATAAGAAAACAAACCATTAAAATTTGTAGCATTTTTAATAAAAATTAACATTTTTGTTAATGGTCTCTTACTTAGGAACTCCACTTATAGCAAATAAAACAAACTTTTTTTATTATTATAACATCTTTTTAAATATTTCTTTCCACAAGCTGCTTTTCTCAGTGTAGGCTAAGGAAACAAAAAATGTTTTTCAAAGGCAGCTATGGTAATTTCTCAAAGGTCAAAGGTTATATCCAATGCAGTCTTTGGTGTAATTCTGTGACGATGAAGAATCACATGATCACTTGTGCTATGAAGCTCCTTTGCTACCTACCTTTCATCTTTTTTCTTTTCTGACTGTGACAGGTATGCAGCGGTAAGCAGGACAGACAGATTTAGATTTAACTGTGACACATTGCACTGTCTTTTCCTGGTCTAAGCTAAAATCTATTAAGCAGGCGATGTTTGCAGTATAGGTGAAGCGTTATAGTTCACCGAAGCCTGGTTTCGGCGATTGTCAGTTTGAACTCGTTTCGTACGTGCCTGATGTTGCAGTGTCTGGGAGGTCCCTTTTTGAACCGTGTCCAGGCCTGTAGCCCAGATGAGATCTTTAGGAAGGGGCCCAGTTTTTGTGATATCCTGTGTGTGTTCGCCATCTGATTACACACAAGCCCCGATTCCTCTCTGTGAGTGTGTGTTAATGACATCCAGGTTAAACAGACTTCCAAAGAGCTCCGTGGAACCAAAGCGAAGGCTGATATTTTGATTAGAAAACGATTTCGCTTACATCCACTGCTTCTGTTCGACTGGAATGAGTTGCTCCAGA